GTCTGGTCCAGTCCAGTCCAGAGTCTAGTCCAGTCCAGTCCAGTCCAGTCCAGTCCAGAGTTCAGTCCAGATTTTCCAACTGGCAGAGTACATAGCCAGCTTTTAAGAAAGCAGTCCGACAGCTAAGGTTCTAGCTAATTCTATGTAATATCTATGTTCTATTTAGTAATTGGGCTTTTTATTGGAAATAGTTATGTCACGTAATTTTAGGCTTTATACTGTACATAAGATTTTGGATTCCCCTTTTTTCTTTCTCTATTATTTTATTCATTTGTTTTGTTTTCTTTGTTTTTTTTCCTCGGCTTATTAGCATATTTTTGGCTAGAGCTCTAATCAAGCTCATCAAACCTGAGATTAAATAAAGCCTCATTCATTCAACGCTTTTCCTAATGACTTAAGCGAATTTCCCGTTGATAACAAAAGTGGAATAAACAAACCTTTAGGGTTAATAATGTCAAGTACAAGAAAACCAATGTAAGAGTGACTCTATCTTAAACCACAACAGGAACTCTTATGTAGGTAACAATCAAGGTCAGCCATGGTACCAAAACGTGCCCGCTTCAAGGACTGACAATCAAATTTAATAAATGACATTCAAGTTGAAAAACTACTTAAAAAGGTCATAGAATTTGAAAGCCTGATGATACAAATACGGATTAACCTTGATCTACAAACTGATCATAACAAAACTCTAGAGACGAGTGAAACGTCAAGTGCAAACAATGAAACATGCAATAAACTAAAAATACACTGAAAATAACCTACAAAAGACTTCACAGCATGCTCTATGGTGGCACCTAGAGTAAGAAATACCGGGAGAATTATTTGCTAACGGCTCTGGATCATCAATATGTGCGCATTCTGGACTTTTATGAGGACTGTCTTAATGCGGTGCGGTTTTCTGAAACACAAAAACAAAAACACATCCAGAATTAAGTTTCCCCGATACACTCTTTTTTTTATATAAGAATATATTTTATAAGAATATCGAGGCCGAAATTTGCGAAATTTTAAGAATATTTTAAGAATAAAGCCAAGGCTGAGATTTTGAAAAGAATAGATATAATTTTGTGTGTTGAAACATCTGTAAATACAATAAACTTTTATGTTTTTAACTTAACCGTATAAAATTATTCCTTTCTCTGAACGGCGAAACTATCCAACAAAACGAAAAAACCTGCACTAGCTATAGCAAAATGTTCAACGCTAATGACAGTTCGATGAACGGTACATGTCATACATATACATATACCCCAATAAATTCTAAAACGGAAATGTCATAAGCTATAATTTAAGAATAATACAAGAATATTTTCAGCATAAGATCAGCAGAAAAATAAGAATATTCAGCCTGGGCCGGAAAAACAACATTCTTATAAAAAAAAAAGAGTGTATGGCGGATCTCCTCGGTTATAAGCTCTCTTAAAAAGCTTTACCAAGTTGTATAACCTCAGGCTTCTAAGCGGAACTTGGAAGTTAAGGTTAGTGCGTAATTAAGTACGTAATTTAGTTGTTACCTCTCTAGTTAAGAACTCTTGAAAATATCAGGTGCAATAATCAGGGAAACGTATTGTATTGTTAAGAAGCGTGCTGTATTGAAAACCCGGATTGAAAAGGAACCTGATACTTGACCGTTTTACTCGGGAAAGGAAGCTACCGAAACGATATCAAAGAACCTTAAAATCTGGACAACGTAAGCCCAACTTAGACGAATCGAAAACATCTTTTGTTTCGCCAAACAAGCACACTGAAATGTATTTACTTAGCCGAAAGGAAGTCTAAGAAAGAGAGAAGAAAAAGGTAATAGTTCTTCCTACCTTCAAAGCTGCGTGCATTCTAGTTTGACTAAACACTGATTCAGCAAACAAGATCCCCAAGGGCTGGTTTAGATCAAGTTACGGAGGCTGCCTGGTTTTTAAGCAATTGTTTTTCGTTCATTAAGGTGCTTCGATACAGTTTTCAGAGGCCATACACCAGTAACTGACTATGGATTGAAATTTGTGAAACTGTAGTTTTAAGTAAAATCGATATTACTATGACAACAATAAACAAAAAACTTTGAAATTGATAAGAGCCGAATTTTGTGTGATCTAGACCAGCTACTAAAAATCCAACACTAGGAACGTAAAGTTTGGTGTTTAGCAAACAACGTTCATAAGAAGTGAAAAATTCTGTATGTTTTAATTCGACAACGAAAGTATATTTCAAACCTTAGATTTTCAATTGCCGTGACACATTATTTAATAAAAACGTTATAAATGACTACTAAAAGCTCTTCTTTCTTGCTGAGCCTCTTTCGAAATTTTGCGTGGATTTGCCCCTGTCTATACACGCCTTTTTTTAATTAGCAAAGTCCGCACTCTGCGTTTTGTGTCAAATTTTACCATCAAAGGCCACCAAAACCTCAATTCATAACGCGTGATTAGACTATACAAACGTCAGCGTGGGAGCCTCCAACATATGCAGACCATCTGATTACAATGCTGGTATCACTTCATTGTCGATTCATTAGCACCTGTAACTTTAAAAACTGGAAAATTGATTGTCCAACACAGTCGTTACCTGCACCCATTTTCAATCAGAGACAATAATTTGAATGTCTGTTTTGCACCTGTTTAGCATTTATAAGTAATGAAAATGAACGCGACAATGCGATACATTGAATATCAATCGTACAAAACACCTAAGAGGATTATTATACCCATAGGGAGGGAGAACAGTTGTTTGGAGTCGATCTATTTCTAATGGTCAGCGTAACGATAAATCGCAACATCAAGAAGTTCATATTGAACGCCAAAAATTGAGGAGAGATGGACGGTTTGATTTTGGACAAACATTGTACAAAAGGCTACCTTTTATGACAAAGAAGGTGAAGACGATTTTGTCTTTGATTTTATGAGTTTGATGGTATCGTTACGGATGCACCGCGGTTGCCACTACAAGTGTGGAGCAGGGAAAGACGTGCCGATAGGGAAGATCTAACCTCCGTGCATAAGGCAATTTATTGTGTTTTGCACGGTTTTGAAAAAGCAGGACATCGAAGAATTCTAACACTGGAGGAGGATGTGTAGGGGCTATCAGCAACCCGTTCAATGACGTTTTGAATCGCTATCCGCAATGTAATGAACGTGAAGTGTGGTATTATGCTATATGCATAGTCAGCCGGACTCAATTTAATGCAAGACCGGCTAAACATAGCCTGCAGTGTAGGCGTATTTTGGGTGGGCGAAACCTTGTTCGTGTTCGTAATATTGTTGTAGCCGCCATTTTTGATTTTATGACAGTGGAAAATTGGGGAGAGTAGAAATAGTAACCCTTACGGTAGTCGAGGGCGAAAGAAGGACAACTTCCTTTGACTCGCCCCATCTCCTCCTCTCTTCGGGAAGTTTCAACATGGCGCTTTCGCGAGCAAATTGCGCGCTCAAAGAAAACGCCTGCACTGCAGGCTAGGCTAAACAGGGTTCTCCGAGCCCGCTAACTTGTCCCTTTCATCCCTTTATAGAGTCAATGGCGAGTGAAAAGTTTTCTTACAAAATTATAACTTGTCCTTTTTGTAAAATGCTAAGAAATAAATTGCACCATGCAAATCTTCTGCTGAAGACGAGTTTTATTTGAATATTGTAACATCACATAATATTTCATCCACAGATTTAGAACGGTTAGAGTGACTAATGGTGTCTAAGAGTGAAAAAGTTTCCCGAAGTCAAAGGAAGAGACGACTGATGAACCTAAATTCGTGCAATTACAATGGGTGTTGCTCTAAGCAGTTAGTTAGAAGATATTTCTGTATGCGTAATTCAACTGAACAAATATCAAAATGAACTCTCCCTCTTTCTCTTTCAAGGTCCGAGTCAAGTTCTCTTGGTCTGGATTAAATTTACTTCCTCCTAAAAATCTCCTGTAACCGCGTACGTATTAGGGACAGTCTAGCGGTGTTTGCAAATTGAATTGGATAGTAATCACAGTTAATCACCAGTAATCCACTGAAAGTGGACAAATATAATTATCACTCAAGTTTCTAGATTGACCTTGAGTTTGCTTTGCGTTTCAGTGGTCAGTTTCAGTTCTCGCGACTGACGTAAAGTTAAAGGAAATCTTAGAGGATACGAAATGAGAACGTAATTAAGTAAAATGGCCTTGTTTCGATCGCGGTATCTTTTACACAAGACCTAGTCCGTGGACGTGATGTACAACATTGAATAATTCTAACGAATATCACGGAACACAGATAAATTTCGTTTCGGAGACCTTTTGATCAGCTTAAGATCATAATACTACTGACAACAAATAAAAAGCTCTACTTGCCCATCTGTTTGTAGTACAAATTCGGACAAAGCAAAGCGATATTCGCTAAAATCTTTCACCTCAACAAAGCACTGGCTAAAGACAATTGGTATTGGCAATAAGTTATATGTCTGAATATTTTTCGCGCTTGTAATTCTTTTGTGGGAATAAATAAGGTCGATTTATAAAACAATGACAAAGTCTATAAAAAACCAAAGTCAAGCAAATAAATCGATAATACCTGTTTACATCGGAGTAAAGGAAATTGTAAATGAGAAACCTGAACATTTTTGTCGCAAAAGGCCCATTAAATAATAATATTAAAATAGATGGAAATAATGTACTGTTGCGTGTTCCATGATTTATGGAAGTGGTCAAATATTTTTAGTACCCGACGGAAATACAGTACCGACGCGTGAGAAAATATACAAAAACGCACTAGTAAAGCTACTAATAGGATATTAAATACTTCAACAGCTTTAAAGTGTATAGGTAATATCGACAGCTACTTGATACGAAATTCTATTTTGGTTGCGTTAACACAAAAGCGGAATCGAAGTCACCCAAACAAAAACACCATACAAAGAAATTACAAGATTTAGCGCGTTCAACAACCTGTTACTTTTACGGGCAAAAATTGGCCAATGAAATTTTTTCTCCACGTCGCTCCAGCCAATCACATTTCAACGCTCCTTGAGGTTTTCGTGTTCCGATCTTTCGCACGATTGAATGACTGTCAAGTTTCTGAAACAATACAAGTTGTTAGAATTATGCATCCGAGATGAAAAGAACGTAATTTTGTAAAGCACGAGTCCGACACGAGGGCAACAATTGGCGTCAAACAAACATTTCTTTTGTGACGATTCTGGAGACAAAGGACGAGGAAATTGAAAGCTTTCTCCTACTGGTATAAACTGAGAACAATAAGGCTAATCTGAATTTCATTTTCTTTGACGGACGATCAGCCTTTGTTTATAAGCCGTTCTTTCAAAAAAGCCCTTTATTTTGGTTGGACGGTACCTGATAAACTCCCGGCACAATGGATGGTACAAACGTGTTCTACGATTTCAAAGACGATCAAGGAGCGACGGATGCTCTTCAAAAGATGAACGATTTTCGCCTTGAGAAGAGTTTTTGTGATGTGGTTCTCTCGACAGACGATGGAGAAGAATTCCACGCTCACCGCCTTGTTTTGGCTTCTGTTAGCGCCTACTTCCGAGCGATGTTTCTGACGGATATGAAAGAAAGCCATCAAAAAAATATAACAATAAGAGGAGTTGAGTCGCCAGCTTTGAGAAGTTTAATAGATTTCGCCTACACTTCATCATTGGGAATCACGTTTTCGAACATCCATTCAGTTCTTTCAGCGGCCAGTTTGCTTCAGTTTCCAACCGTAGAAAACGCTTGTTACGATTTTCTCCGAAACAGTATCAACGTCCATAATAGCATCGAAATATGGAACTTGGCGGACCTACACGGCTGTTCAGAGCTAGTAGACCTGGCCGAAAACTTTATTCGCGCAAATTTTACGGCGATTTTAAAACTGGAAGATTTCAATATGTTGTCGTTAAAGCAAATGGTGCGACTTCTTTGTCACGATAAACTAAACGTCCCATGCGAGAGCACCGCATTGTTCGGTGCTCTTGATTGGGTCAAATACGATTTGGCCAATAGACTTGTAAATCTCGAGGAATTACTGGAGCATGTCCGATTTCCTTTGATGACGCGAAAATTTCTGATGGATACAGCGGCAAGAGAGGAGCTAATCATGGCTAGCGCAACCTGCAGACAGTTTGTTCTCGAGGCGATAGACTATCATCTTATTCCTGAGAGAAGAACAAAGAACCGAATCCCCCGTGCGATCCCTCGCGACAGGCTAAGCCGATTACTTTACGTTGTTGGAGGCGAAGGTAGGTACTGGAAAAAAAATACAAAAACAAAACAACAACAACAGATGATTATTTTTTAAAAAAGTGTTTTAAAGTGACTGGCGTAGGTTGCAAAGATAGAGGGAAGATGACGAGAGTGGATATCTGTGCTCCGAGTTGAAAAAGGTCGAAAAACATTTCGACCACTAATTACACGTAACAACCTAGCCTGAGGAAATCAGGAGGTAATTATCGGATGAGATGTATATTTAGCACACGCAAATAACCGTCTATATGAACGCGATCGGTTTCGTTGATCGGATTTTCCTAACAATATTCATATTTCTCATTAACTAAAAGTTCTACTAAATAATAAATTTTAATCGTCATCCTGTAATTTTGCGTCAAATGTTGAATGTAACAGGAAATCTGATGTATCTCGAAAGTGCACTTGACCTTGACGTTAACAGAGGCGTGTAAAGATGATGCATGCCTCCTAATCTTCTAGGTGTCGCTATATTTTGTCACTTTATTCTACTGTTTAGTTTAAATTGTTGAACAAATTTTAAGAGGTCATTCACGCGGCAAAAAGTTCGACAAGGTGATCTTGGAATGAGTGGCATTCTTTTTGCGAATACGTGAATTACCACTTACAGGATATCGAAATTAGAAATGGTCGCGTGAATGCGCACGTTGAGGCCCGTAAGCCACTTACTCACTTGATCAATTATGGAAGACAGAGTCGCTTAGGGCCTGTTTACATGGAGTGGGGGACCCCGGTCTAGTGGGGTTGGTTTCTTTTGTTTTCACGCTCTGGGGGACACAAAACAAAAGAAACTTACCCCACTAGACCGGGGTCCCCCACTCCATGTAAACAGGGTCTAAATTATGCAGGGGCACCTAACGAGAATATAGTTCAAAACCACTTAAACATAGCATCGTTAAACATATTTTAGTATTTAAACGGTAGAGATAGGCATAGTTTTATCCCCTAAAAATTGTTCATCTGTTTGGATTTCCTAGCTGAAAGTCTAGTGATCCGAAAATTATAGGGATCAAAACTTACCTTTTCGAAAATTTCAGCCAGAAAAAAGGCTCCCGAAAATTCTAGGTGACGTTTTAACAGTAAAAATCCGTTAAAAATGGGCAATTATAGTAGTTGTTAGATGTTCGAAAATCCTAGGAGAAGCAGGCAAGCAAGAAATTTTACAACAAATGTTCCGAAAATTCTAGATGTCAAATCGTCTTCCGAACAGATATTTTCCGAAAATTGTCTTTGGGTGCCCCTGATTATGAAACATTAAATTTACTACCACTTTTCTGTCAGTCGACAACTTTCGTAGATGAGTTTTGAAAATGACTGACTGCTCGTGAAATCTTTTGAGAAACAGTGTAATTTTTGAGTCTTCACGTAACCTGCGAAAACAGCCGTCTTTACTCGGTAAGTTCGTCGATAAGGCAGCCGATTCTATGACCGTCCTCGCTACAGTCTTAGGCCCAGTTCAAACGTCGAATTTCACAAGTGCCGAACTAATTCCTATTTTGGTCGACCAAAATAGTTAAATACGGCATTTGATTCAAACGTTGAACTCAGTCGAATTTAACTCTATTCGCTGTCAATCTGTCAGTCTCTCCAAATGAATCATAATGATTTACAAAAATTCATGCATTAAGTTCGGCACAAGTGAAATGCGATGTTTGAATGAAAAGTCGAACCTAAGTCGAATCTTCGACAGTCGCAGATACGGCAAACATCGCATTTAGTTTAATAAACAGTCGAATTTAATTGATTCAAAAGTCGTCAGACTAACATTTTAACTTACCGTATATATTCGATTAATCGTCCTCGGCGCTTATTAAATTTTTGGACCTTAAGAGTGGGCTCTTATTCGAGGTGGGCACTTATTCGAGGCTGGACGCTTATTAACTTTTCACCATTTTCAGCAAGTGTAGTATGTTTATTTTGCAACAAAACAACAAATGCTATAACAAAACGCGAAGAAGTAACAAAGCAAGGTTTCTGTAAAATACTCCGAAGAAGACGCCGTCCTCGGGGAAGTCTCTTATTACCGTATTTATTCGAATAAGCGCCCAACCTCGAATTAGCGCCCACCTCGAATAAGCGCCCATCCTAAAGGCAGAAAAAGTTAATAAGCGCCCAGCCTCGAATAAGCGCCCACCCCTCCTCCTCCCAATCAGACTCAAATAAGCGCTCACCCCCAACCCACCCACTTAAGTGAATAAGTTCCAATAAGAGACTTCCCCGAGGACGGAGTTTTCTTCAGAGTATTTTACAGAAACCTTGCTTTGTTACTTCTTCGCGTTTTGTTATTAGCATTTATTGTTTTGTTGCAAAATAAACCTACTTCATTTGCTGAAAATGGTGAAAATTTAATAAGCGCCCAGCCTCGAATAAGCGCCCACCTCGAATAAGCGCCCACTCTCAAGGTCCAAAAATTTAATAAGCGCCCAGGGCGGTTAATCGAATAAATACGGTATATATATTGTTACTTATTCAATTTCAATTTTAATCTCATTGTCACTCACATGGGTGGGGTGGGGGTAGGCCCTTACGGTATTTGAATTTGATTGGGAGGAGGAGGGGGTGAGGGTGGGGTGTCGGGGGGGCGCTTATTAACTTTTTCTGCCTTTAGGATGGGCGCTAATTCGAGGTGGGCGCTTATTCGAGGTTGGGCGCTTATTCAGTTACGGAATCTTTTTTTCCAAAAACGGTATCGGTGGACAAAAAAATCTTCAGATTGAAGAGGCATACTGTCAGACCACTTTTAAACATGTTAAAAGTACCACGCATATACATTATGTGGCGCAAACTGAGCTTTGTTGAATTGAGCGGACATTTTGCAACGAGCTAAGATCTAAAAAAAAAAAGACGTACAAACTTGTCACTAAAGTAGCAACGAGGGTAGAGAGAGGGTGAGAGTCTAGTCTGCAATTAAAACCGTAAGGTAAGGGCGAGAAGAGCTGACACCTGAGCTGACTCGTGAAGAGTCCGTTTATGCCCTGGAATACATGTAAGAGAAGGGATTACTGGAGGAAAAGGGGCTGTGTCGCAGCTGGCGAATGGGTCATTTTGTTTATGATATCAATTACACGCCCTCATTCGCAACGAACCGTTCAGTGGAAAAATTTCTTGTGAATGACAAAATCACAGCTGGTTGTCAAACACACATGTCTTTCAACCATGATAACAAACGTTTGAAACAACAAAAACTAAATTTGGAAAAGTCGACGAAACTTTTGGATGATAAGTAATGGATTATTCGTGATAGATAACAGGAGTTTAATAGACGCCTGTAGATATATACTATTTTCAAAGACAGGCCTGAATTCTGATTGATTCTAATACGTATGTTCAAATATAGCACTCAAGGTGATGCCCGGGGGGGGGGGGGGTACTCCCATACATTACCTATACGGGTATGTGCCGCCCAACGGGGTCGTGATTTTGAAGCTCCTGATTTAATCGGGGTATCCATTTCAGAGGCGTTTTCTAGAACGGGGTATAAAAAATTGTGGATCACGGCTTTATCTTCTGTTTAAAACTGTTGCTGATTATGATGAAGCATTTATTTGATGTATAAGTCGAACAAATAAGGAAATATCTTAAAAAAACAGGGCTATTTCAATTTACAAACTTTCTAGGAAGAAGTATAAAAAATTGGCCCATTTCTAGAACGGGGTATCAGTTTTACGGCGAGTTCTAGAACGGGGAATAAAAAATTGGCCCATTTCTAGAACGGGGTATCAATTTTAGGGGAAATTTGTTTTAGAACGGGGTGCAAATTTGGAGTCCCGGGCGGCACATACCCACCCAAAAACTACCCAAGTGCCCCCCCGGGAGGTGATGTTACACGAGACGATTCGCAACGACGATTTTTAGCGCAACACAGCGTTGCAACATTGTTGCGACATTGTTTCGAATAGTTGCAATATTGTTCCAATATTTCAACGCTGTGTTGCGCTAAAAATCGTCGTTGAGAATCGTTCCGTGTAAGATCACCTTTACAGTCCAAAATCATCGCTTGCGGATTCGCTTGGCCAATCATTTTGGCCTTGTAAGAAATCGTAAACAGGATGTCCAAGCAATGATGCCGAACGTGTCTTTAATTACTAAAATGGTCGTAATTTATTAGTTGGTTGTTATATTTTATGGATTCTAGCCTTTCAGCCCTGATGCAAATCTATCGACTTCCTATATGCGTATAAGGAATTTTAATTAGCGACTTCCTATGTGAGTATTAGGAATGTAAATTAGTGGCATGAAACAGTCATTACGTCCCCTCAAACGAGTTTTGTACCTCCGACCAATCAGGAAATTTTCCATTTTCTCTTTTAGCATGATTCTGAATTGTAAGATTATGTGCGAAAATAAAAGTCAGCCTTTGTGAAATTGCGTTCCTACACATACCCTAGTCCGAGTTGCAGCCGGCCCACGCACTTGTCTAAACCATTTGTATAGTTTGCACAGAAGGTCTAGAGTGTCTGTGACGCAGGTTAACATATGCGCGCAGGGTCTTTCAGGATGTAAATTACAGTAAAGCAAGACGGTATTATGATATGAACCTCCTAGTGGCTTCTTAGAAAACGGATATCTTTACAAGTATGGCTTCATTAAATAAAGAAAAGTATGTTAATTTTTCCCCAACGTCATCTGTTACGAACCATCTTGCAAGCAAAGCAGAACACTACTAAGCCTTGGAGAGCGATTAAGCGGATCGAGCAGAAGTTTTTTTAAGCGTTTAAGAGTAATTAATCTCTTCCCCTTCTTTGACGTTAACACATGAAATAACCGCAGAATCTAGGGGGGCTGCTACCATAATAAGCCTTGGCACCTGACAGAGCTTCTAGACCAGGGCTCAATTCAAGCTTTTACAAGAGTAATTTAATACAAGTGTATCCATTTCATTCAACTGACTGAATTGACCCCAGTCCTGTTCTGATAACACTAGGACACTCGTCGCAAAGAAAAGTGTGCATTAACCTTGAACAAGAGGTTGCCTTGAACTAGAAGAAATTGGGTGTAGAGAAGCGACAACCGGAAATATGTCTCCCACAGTCTACCTGCCAGCGTTTTCGCGTTTTTTTGCACCTTAATTTGCATTTTCTCTTTCCGTCCTTCAAGCAACTGCCTTCTAGGCTAGCAGGCCAGTAAGAAGTGTTAGCCGTGCACGATAAGAGCCAAATAATTAGTTGCAAGATAGAGTGAACGTTATAACTTAGGGACCATTATTTATGGCAGGGGGTCGGCTGGCAAGAATAAGGGGGGGGGGGCACGACAAATTCAGGACAGTCCGAGGGGGGATCATGAGGAAATTGAACCTCGTTCCCAGGGCGCTTTTCCCTGGCTTTGGAGGTGGGCCCTGGGGATTAGGTTGGAGGAAATTGGCATACAAGAGCGGGGGCTGTATGATTTTACATTTTTGCTTTATTTTCAAAGAAATGCGTTTATTGCTGTCGGCAGTATTAAATAGTACATGATTTCGAGCCTCTGAACATTTTATACGTCGTAATTTAGAGGTCATACAGAAAACAGTCACGGTATGGAGAAAATGGTGTCCCAAGACTGCGTCCAGAACGAGTTTGACGAAGTAACTGTACGACTGGTACCAGGCCTTCCTCTTTGGTTTCACTCTCTGAGGACTCCGCACTACTGTAATGTGAAATCACAAGGTCATCGTCGCTGTCGCTTTCTTCCTCAGAATCACTAACTTCATTGTCTCGTATCACAGTCCTCATAACTGGGTCTTGCCTTGTAGCGATATATGCATTAATTTCATCACCTTGTTTGTTTGAAGCATGACAGATTATACGTCGGCTTTTATCATTGTTTTTGCCTTTAAGTGAAAGGTTAAAATGAGGAAAATACTCAACTCTCGGACTCCGTGTTAGCTGCTGGATTTCACCAGTGTGACACAGAATGTCACAGTTATATTCCTCGAACTGTTTTTGCCGTCTTTGTTGTCTCTGTTGATCATCAAGCTAAATTGCAAAGAGGGAGCTGATCAGCGCATTACAAAAGAAATGTTGCAGTTAAATGAATTAGAGAAATTAATACGAGACTGGCATACAAAGGTTGCATTAACTATCCGTGCTTAAAAATGAACACCGGCACTTAAATGCAAGAAAATGTATACAAGAAATGTTAACAGAGTGGGCTTTAGAAATAGGAACAAAGAAAAAGAGGGAACAGAGAAAGAAGAGGAAGATGAGGAAGCAGTGGAAGGAGAGGACGAAGAGGAAGATGATGAGGAAGTAGAAGAAGGATAGGACGAAGAGGGTGGAGAGGACAGAGAGGATGGAGATGGAGAAGATTAAATAAATATTAATATCAGCTTGAATTTTGTATCTTTGTTTGAGATGAATTAATAAATATGTCTTTTATTAAAGGTTGAACGTAAATGCCTGATTCTTTCCTCTATGTTTTTCCGAGGATGGGGAAGCGGGGGAGCTATTTCTAAGTTTAAAAGTACATTAACAGGGACATGCCGTTTTTTTCTTTCCTGGAAGGGGTCATAACAGCATACTCCCTGGCACAAATAATGAACGGTCTTTTAGTTTATCAAAATTATTTGCTGTCCTCTTGCCTTATAACCGAAATGTCATTTTTTAGACTGTTCTTGTATTCAATCCGATTAATTCTTTGGCACCGTTCTGGTTTTCTGAATAAAGATCTAAGAAAAGAGTTAATCTTCTTGGTTCAAGCTTTAACTTAGTGTCGACTCTTTACTGTCATTATTTTTTAATTTCAGAAAATCGCAAGGTTTTAAACGACGTAGAATTCTTTGACTTCAACGAAAAGAGATGGCGCGCAATCGCACCTATGATAATTCCACGCAAGTACGCTGGTTGCGCATTTCTAGATGGTCAGCTGTATGCCGTGGGAGGAGTGAACAGGGAGTACGCTGACCTAGTGACCGTGGAGAGTTACAACCCTTGTGCTGGCCAGTGGAATTCTGTTGCTTCACTAAACAAATGCAAAGGTGACTACCGTTCATCAAGCTAAAATAAGCTTTGTAAAAAAAGGCGATAAGTATACTCGCAGAAGAAAAACAAAAAAGCTAAAACAACAACAACCGCAAACCGCATACATTGTACACTCAACATCGGGTAGAAGTCTTGAAGAGAAGTTCCGAAGCACCTAATTAAGTCTTTACTCATCTACATTGCTCGGTCTCATGATGAAAGCTAATATTCTATACTCGCTGACTTGCGATATAGGCAATATGTGCAGTTGTCGCAGAGCAACACCAGAGAAAGAGATTGGGTGAGTCTCGGCTTGTCAATTCCCCGGTGGGCGCTGACTCCAACAAAATCTTTATTGTTTACTGAGAATGATTATATTTATTATATATATATTACATCCTTTACAGCTATAGACGACTTCAAATGGCATTTTACTGTGCGTTAATTAATTACCAAAGAGGATAGATATTTTTCAGTTTGTCAAAAGGTAGAAAAAGACAAGAAATAAACAGGAAATCAAAATTGAGCGGAAAATACTTTATCACTTTCTTTGAACACATAACGTAAAGAGGATCAATCGATCAAGCACTCTACCAAGCATAATTTCAGGCCATCTCTAACAAGTACTAAAACCGTGTCTGTTGTCTTTGTCACTTTTCGTAGGTGCTCTGGGGGTATCAGTACTTGAGGGATGGTTGTATGCCGCCGGTGGATCTCACAACGGAGCTGCGCTTAAAAGCGTTGAGCGTTATGATCCAATCAAAAACGAGTGGACCCAAGTGGCAAACATGCGCCTACCCAGAAGCCACTTTGGAATGGCGTCTCTGCAAGGACGTCTCTTCGCTGTCGGTGGTTACTGCGGGATCTCGGAGATCGAGCACGTCGAGTGTTACGACCCCATGACTAACAAGTGGGCCGATATGAGCAGCATGAACAAGTCCCGCATGAATCACGCAGTGGTTACCTTTAGCGATCGCATCTACGTCATCGGAGGCAGTAACAGTGTTGGTATTCTGGACTCCATTGAGAAGTACAATCCTGATTTGAATCTTTGGTTGATCATCCGCAACACGATGGATCCTCGCAGTGGAGCAGCAGCGGCCGTGGTTTTGGGTGGGACTGATGGAGGGCAGGAGTTGTTTATCATTGGCGGCCATGACCATCACAGCAGAGATACAAACTCCGTTAAAAAACTTAATTTGAAGTTTGCTGATTACTCGTCAGCAACAGCACCGTGTATGAATCATCCTCGAGTGTACGCTTCAGTTGCGTGTGCTTAGACTGCTGCAGCCCTAGGCAAATGATACGTTAGTCCCCCCCTCTCGCGCGCTCTCCACGCCACTATCAGATCGGATACTATGAACTTTGAATAAGGTACTAAGAAAATAACATATGTTCCTTTCAAGGTCAGTGTACCGTTTTTGGTGACATCATTTTTCTTCTCAGACCAGCCTGCAAATAAGTATCAAGTGCGGGTTTGTGGAAGGCGAGCCATGGAAGCGAACCGCAACACTGTCTTTCAATCGCTACTGATTTGGACCCACAAAGATTTTAGAAACCGCGGTCCAAATTCGTTAGCATATCAGGGATAACCTTGACTTAAATCCGTTAGAGGTTTTGGATTCTCCTGTCAAGAGTTTAATAATCGTATAATCTTCAGAGAATCATATTGAATATCGTTTAGTCGTTTTATCTGGTAAGGATCAAACATAAAACATTTATACAAAAAGGCAAACCAACAATGCACCGCTTTTAAAAAAAAAAAGGCAGTAGCATAAAATAGCAGTATAAAGTGCACCTTCTCTGGGTATCAGAGGTTTTTTTCTTTAGGGGAGACGGAATTGAGCCGCGAAGCCGCAAAATAGTGTCGCGAATACCTCAGATATCCAGGATAAAGTGCACCTGACGCGAAAGCTGATTTCGTTCTGTCATTTTATTGCCTGGCGAAAAGGCGCACATTACGGGTCTAGTAATTGTAGCCTGTTCCAGGCTCTCAGATAGTGGGGAAGACGCGAAAGTGAAAGGCACACGAAAAGTTTCCCCCAGCGGTTTTATTTTCGTGTTCGCGCTTTAACAATTCAGTGGACCCGACTATCTCCGAGCCTGGAACAGGCTCTAGTAACTGAGCATCGAGACCTGAGGAAGTTTTTATAGCATGTACTAGTTAATTGTTATAAAATTTTACACAAATATTTATTATCAACAGACGGTGTTAGACTTTTATACCACAAAAAAACAAAGATACATATTCTACTGAAGCAGCGTACCGTTTTAGCAAAGGTTAAATAGGTTACCTTATAATGTAGACTACGAGTAGTCTATCGTTTTCCTCAGTGATAGTACAGCAAGCGAAATACGAGAGTGCGCATGCCAACCTCGTCCCAGGACAAGGTTTCACCCATGAAAAGTACCATCCGCCAGAAAGGTGACACGCGCCGGGACGAGAGGAAATGCCGGAGAGACAAAGCGCCAGCCTTTGACCCTGTATTTTATGATGTTCTTTCCTTTCCCGAGTCTCGGTTCTACTTGCGCGGTATGTGAATAGTCGCATAAAGAAAGGAGGGACTACTCGTAGTCAACTGAAAATGCCACAATAAAAGTTCAGACACGCCTACTTTCTTTACCCCACACATGGCTAATGGAATTAAATGTTAATACATTATGGTCAGGGATATCGAAGAAAAAGGTTAACGGTTCAAAAGGGCATTAATTTAAAGATATGCATAACATTCAGGCTCTTAAATTATCAAAAAGGAATTAACTGTTACATATTAGGATTGAAGAAAATGTCGAGTATCGTACCTACAGGGAGAGTTTATGGTTTTAAAGGATTTTGATTTGAAGAGCCGTTTTGAAACAGAAAGGAATAGAGGGTATTTGAAGAATACGTGCTACATTACTGTTAATATTCATTGTAAAAGAAAACGGTTTTCATTCGTCATTCTTTATACATAGTTTGGAATATCTAGGAAAAGTCATTGTTAAGCTGTTACTGTTTTTAGATTGATCGTGATGCCACATATAATAGCACAGTAGTAAAAGACCACGCCGTTTTGTTGAATTTACTTAATTAAAATAAAACTACACTTGTAAGTCGGTACACTCACGGCTCAATGATCATTAAAGAGCATTGGTAATAATTTAGCTTTCAAGTGAAAGTTGATGGTGGGGTTAATTTGTTCTGTGTATCATGTAAGAATGTGACTTTCTTGTACAACCTTTTTATTCCCTGAGATAACAGAAACTGTAATCAAAGAAATATTCCAAAGATGGTTTTAAAAACACTAGACAATACATTCCACCCCGTAAAAGTACAGCTTAGAGGTTTCATTAGAGTGGCCACATCAAACATTTTTGTACAAACTCAACAATTGCGGTGGAAAAAGTTGAGGTGTTAATTTCTATCCAACGGTTTACCAGCTATGATTACGACAGGAATCACCTTGTCAAGAACCAGGGCTTGGTTGTTCAAAGCCAGGTTAAGATAACTCGGGGTTAGAGCAAAATTTGAAATGTGCGTAGACTGCGAGCAGTGTCTTATTTTTCTTTGCAAAGTTACTGCACGCAAAACCTAAGCACGCGAGCGGCGAAGCCGATTGCCGCGAGAAACGAGGGCGTTGCAATCGCGGTGGATGAGATCAAGAACTAGACGGATTTTAAGAGAAAAGGCGGACTGCAAGCAGTCTAAAATGTGCGAAATTCAGATATGAAAGCTTGAAAGCAAAGTCAGTATTATTCTTTTTGCCCACAATTTGATGATTGGATGCTCTAAAAAGAATCGACAAAATTATTCGGGAAAATGCTTTTGAGCAAAAGAAAAAGAAACTCAGGTTAAAATTTAACCCTGGGTTAGCGCTAATCGGCCTTCAAACAACTGGGCCTAGAAGTCTACCAAAAAATGAGTCAAAAACTAAAAACATACAATGGAGTCTCCATTCACAGGACACATACCAGACAAGAGTAGGTGTCCCCGGAAAAGGAGGTGTACTTTCTACTGAGACACACGACTGGTACAAAAATTATACAGTGGCATCTTCATCCAAGGGACACCTTAAGGATCAGGACAGGTATGCCCTGAGTTTGAGAGGTGTCCCTTTAATAGAAATAACTGATACTAAGTTCAAACAGTGAATTTTTTACCCAGGCTACTTCGATGTGAGCAGGAAAGGAGTTTCTTGAGTGAGAGTGTCCCTTCAATAGAGGTACACTGGGTGTACAATCTTTATATCAATTATTGATATAAAGATTATACAACAGGGTGTCCATTGAAGGCACACCCTAGAGACCAGGACAGGTGTCCCCTGAAAAGACTTGTCCCTTCAAATGAGGTATCAGATGCAAATATTATAAGAACTTTTTTTGTAGCAAAACTTGTGGGTGCCTTGAAAGGAGGCAGCCCCTGAAGAGAGTTTTCACTATATTAAGCAAAAGCTCCTTATTTCCTCCAAACTCACCGTGTACAGCTGTACACTAAACCCAAGTTATTTATGAAAGAGCTCATAAAGGATAATTACTGTCCAAGCTGTGGATGTTAAACATTGCCTTTTTATGTAACTTGAAATTATTACTATGTATAAATTTTGCACTTCTGACATAAACATTATGAGCAATAATATCATACATGTAACACATAATATTAATGTCAGAAAAGCAAAACTTCCCTGTCCATAAAAAGCCAACCCAAATGATATTGTACAATTCAACGCAGTCTGTAAAATCCACTTAGACCTTGATTTGACCAAGAATAAAATTCAACTTGTACAATGTAGAAGCAGGACGGATTCTACTCTTTTCAAGGTATTTCAAGACGTCCTTAAATCAAGATTTTAGGGTATAGAGTACAGATAAGCCATTTCACAAATCACAATGGCCCTATTGACTACAACTTCTTCTTTCTTTTTTTCTTTCTCATTTGAATTTAGTAACATCACAAATTACACAGGAATTAAAATGAGAACATTATTTTACTACAGCTGTACTGAAGCAATTTAAGAGAACTGAAGGAAAGCAATCCAACGTTTAGTTTCCATGCTTTACTCTGTGTTTCCACTGCTTCACTAAATTACAGAAATCTTTAATCATTAGCTTGTACTAAGGGTAAAGAATTAAAATTCACATATGTGTAGTTTTATTGCTACAAAGAAATTGAGGATAATGGAAAAACTTATTCCTGGCTTGTTGGGATCTTCTGTGAGGCCAAAATTGCTGTGAATTCGGGTAGAGTGCTCATACAAGATTTTTGGTTGAAATTGTTCTAGATTTTATTCCTCACGTATTATGAGTCCCAAAATAGAAAATATAATGCACAGGCTTAGATTTTCTCATGTTACACGAGTTTCAGCAGCTCCTGCATTCAACATTTCACACAATTCCATTACATGTAGTTTAAAATTAAGCATCCGTACCAATATGGACCGTGTATCCTGGTGGGCTTATAAACAAAATCCTTGTAAAAGGCTATGTTACATATTCTTGCCTTCTTATTGAGTCAGTCTGGTTATATATTATTACAGCTAGAACTTCATTTCTAGTTGTGGCAGCATGTTACATGTAACTGTTACAAATGTGCTACAGGTATTAACGAGTCAGTTAACGCCTTAGGTCGGCTTTATAATCTTCCAGTTCACTTGTCAGGTGTGCTACTTGCTTTCTCCAGGAGTTCAGTTGGGCTTTAAAGAGAAAGAAGATTTAAAAACACTTGGTTAGAAAGGGATTACTAGTTGAAAGGTAACAACAACAACAACAACAAATTAAAATTTGCTACTGCACTTGACTCCTGAAAGCTTCAACCTTCTAGGTGAGTCTAGGGGAAGAAATATCATGCACACTTCATTTCAAGGGCAGCAAGAGAATACAATGTGTATTGATATTTTAAAATTAAGGAATAAAGCTTGATTAAGAATACATGGTTGTAATAAATGCAATGTTGTGGACTGCAGCACCCTTTTTTTTACTTGTCATGTGCTAAAAAAACATGGTTTGAGTTATTGAGGGTAAAATGATATAGACACGATCTGAAGGAACCTCGTTTCAAAAAACATACCATCAATTAACGTCATTCTCAAGTTGATGTACCATTGAATCAATTGCTTGCATCTTCCAAATTTGGTCAATGCCAGTTGGTTAGGAAGAATTAGCCAGGGGCTTTGAGCCAGTCAAAAATGGTGAAATATTTTGAATGAATAATAACAACTTTTATTGGATGAGGCTGAGAATGATGTGAAAAATAATGTAAGTTGAGGAAGGTGTTAAGACCCTCTCAAGTCCGCACAATTCTTCATATAAACATGCTGATGCCAATAATAATTATTGCCATGACAGTAAATATCAACTATTTATCACTACGAAATGGACAACATGCAGTTCTGTAAACAATATTAATAATAACTATAACAAATTTTTTTTAGATATTTTAGGCCTTTTCAAAATTCAAAACACAAGAGATGCTGAGAGTTTTTTAGCTAGTAGTAAAAGAAAACATTTAAGCGGGCATGATGGTGTATACATGTATTGTCCAATTACTGAGACATGACACATACTGTCCCATTACACTGTCCTATTAGTGCTAAAATCAGGACAGTTGATAGCCAATCAGATTTGAGAATTTTGTTATAGTTATGATTAATCGAGACATACAATGTTGCTCTAACCTACAGCTGTATAAGAAAATGGACAGAATCATGTGAGGTGTCGTTTTAATTGAAACACCTGAGGCCATGCACAAAGTGTCCAATTTTTAGATTTGTATGATGTAATGAAATGAGGTTTTTGTACATTTTTAGACATCAGTAAACCCCACGTGACTTATCAGCCCTTAGGCTGTGCTACTGCGCTTGCACATTAAGTAAAGAGAGAATTTTGATTGGAAATAAAGAGGTTTGCGGGAGCTTTCTTGTCTTTTAAATTGATCAAGTAGCAAAGGTGAGGCCTTCCAAGGAGTTTTGGCGACAAGAAACATCGCTCTAAATTTGCAAAAAATGTAGTGACAATCTTGTTCCAGAACACCGACAGCCGACAGAAACTTACAGAAAAAAGCGACAATTTGCAACAGCGAAAATCCATTTCTAATTTTGACAAAGCGACAACTTTTTAATTTGTTATTTTGACAGCGACATGACCGACCAGGCCAGCGTGACTCTAAATCTTCTGTTGGTGTTACTATTTCTTGTACAAATTAAGATATTAAATCATTAAACAAACAATTTAAAACTATTTAAATATTAATCAAAATTAGAGGATGCAAAAATTAAGTACGTTTAGTGAACATTTGTATTCTAGCAAAAAATTGCATTGTAGTGAAAAAATGACAGCGACATTTGTCTCTAGCCAAATAGGTGACAGGAGAGTTGGAAAATGAGAGACAAAGCGACATCAGAACCCCCCTTGGAAGGCCTCAAAGGTGGCTCTCCAGTTTAGGACTGAAAACATCAGAGAAGGAATACAACATTAAAACCAATAAATTGATCATTGAAATATTCAAATTGAAGGGCAAAAATCAAAATCCTAATGATCCTAAAATCTATTGGATTAATCTTTTCAGTTCGAAATTCTAATTGGAAGGAAGGAGGTTAACTTGGGATGACACTTACATTTCAGTCTGTCTCTTTGCACTACCAGCAACTTAGCTTCTGCTTCATTCCTGCCAGCCTCAAATTCCAAATTTCTGATCTGCTGTTCAATGGTCTCAACTTTGTCTTCAAAATATTCTTCACGCTGGGCATACCGCCTGTGTTTGATTTCTAAATTTATGACTCTAATGGTGTCAGAATCTGTCTCTTCACTCAACTTGACAATCTTGGACTCAGCTTCGTTTAATCGTGCCAAAAGCTCACTTAGTTCTGCCTTCATACTGCTATGCCTGACTTTGGCTTCGGCAAGTTTTTCCTCTTTTTCATCAGCAATTTTCTTTGTATCTCTACACTTAATCTCTAGCATGACTAATCCATCACCGACTTCCAATTCCTTTGCTTCAAGGGCCTTCCTTGCCTTCTCACTTTCTTCAGCTTCTTCTTCTTTAGCTACGCGATCTCCGTCTTTTTCAGCTGTTTCTTTGTTGAGATTCTCCAACTCCTCTTTCTTGTTTTTTATCTTCTCCTTCAGTGAATCTCTTTCCTCATCTGCCAAGTCTGCCCTTTCCTTTGCAAGTCTAAGGTAGCGTAACAGATTCTTTCGCTTTGTTTCTGCCCGCTCAATATCACAAATGGTTTCTTTAGCCTTTATTTTAAGTACATCCATTTTTAAGGTAAAAACCAAGAAAAATCAACACTTGCAAGTAGTTTATCAGCAAACACACCTGTTTGAAAACAACAGATATTAAATTGGACATGAAATTTACATTAAGAAAAAAGGAAGAACTTCTGGTCATGAAGAAAACTATAAATGCGTTTGAAACAAAGAAGGCAAAACTTTCAGAAATGATCATATCAATGCAAACCCCCCACCCTGCACAAATATGGGGCATTGGCCAACAAGCAAAAACCAGACAAGGGGCATACAAATTATGTACCTCGTATTCTGGGGACAGTCTAAACTGGCCATGCCCCCATCAAATGAGGATAATGCAAGACATACATGTGATGTGGAAAGTGAAAAGAAGGGACATTAATAATTTTGTCTTAATCAGGCAGAAAAACTGTCTGCGAATGCAGGTTAATCAAATGGATTGTAAATGGTTACCAAAAGTGTGTAAATGGACTCCGTTTCTGTTAAAATGCCTGTTCAAAAGCATTAAATGATAAGGCAGGGTAAAATAAAACAGGTTGACCTTAATGTTTAAGGGGAAAGCGGGAAAGCAGGAAAGTGGGAACCTGAGCATGTTAAGCAGTTGAACAAAATTTTAAAATGATCTTAAATGGAGAGCTCAATGTTTTGACAATAATCAGCAGATGGTTTCAAAAGCCCCGCTAGAAACAACAGTTTACAGAGAAATTAAGAGAAATAATTTTGATCAGCTGTTGTCAAATACTGAAAATTATACATTTCTGATAATTTGCATCGGTGTAAACATATATATATACAGGGATCTTTTGAATTGAAATTTAAGTATCTAGTATAGATTTGTTAATTCAGGAAAAATAATTTACCCCTTTACCCCTAACCTAATCGACTCTAAATGTACTTTATATACATAAATATACTGCTGTCATGTGAACGTGTGTTTTGACCAGTTGTAGTTTATTTGCTCATTGTATGTTATCTTTTTGTTTATTTGTATAAAACATTTTCTCCTTTGTATCTACTTAATTAAGAACCCTTTACATCTTCCAACTATTGGCAAGGTATTAGTTTTACTTTTTTTGCCCTTATAATTTTTCTTTTCTGTAAACTTGTTCGTTCTGAGTGCATTTAATATTAATCCCCCTGGTTGAGGACCAATGGAGTTCTTCAGGGATAAGTTATAAAAATTGAGGATTTCTTATGTGGTAGAGTAAAAAAAATGGAATTCTTCAGGGCAGGGCTCGAAATTGTGACTCACTGGTTGCCAATGCGACCAAAAATTGAGCACTGGCGGCTCGCGTTTTGTCCGATGACTAAAGAAAACCACGACACAACTTTTGTTTTTAGATCTTTATATTAGGAAATCAATCGAATATGGTACCTAGTATACAATTCACCTTTCCGTCCCCAGTAAAATAATGTCTGAATATTACAAGATAATTGAAAAAATTGAATGTATTTCGATACGTCGATACTGCATTCACGGCGCGCCGTATTGTTTCAGCGGCTTCTTCCGAAACTGGGATTGCAGGCGCACTTCAACACCATGTGCTTTTCATTTGCCGTGAAAATGGTGGCAGATACAAATCAGTTCAAGGAATTACGTGAGTTTTCACGTGCAGGGAATGAAGATTCAGCCAAAAGGTTAATCCAAACTTTGAATCCTTCATCAGTTGTTGATGTAGGGAAAGTGGGCGGTTAATAAATGGATAAAACGATCACTAATAGAAAAAGTACCTGGGTGAATAGTTCTTAACAACTTTTCTTTATCCTTTAAGGTAAGGAGATAGCAATTCAATTCCAGCGGTGCTTCCATAACTCCCGCAATATTTTAGGTTTTATTTTCCTAAAACGTTCTGTCTAAAATGAAATGAAGACCTAAAAACTGCACTAAGCCCATTTTTGTTTCCTCCCGGTCGAAGACTGGTACGAGCCATGTGGTTCTGCAGAGGCCTGGGCCAAGCATGGTGTTGTTTGTCGGCAGCGAAAGGCGTCGAGGAAAGCAAGTCGAAAATAAAGAACGGCATTTCGAAGAAGTAGCAAAGGGCAAATACGCAAGGACCTGTGCTTGTCTCAGAATGAAAACCACGCACTTAAAACGTTTTATGCTTCGGTCCATTTAAAATGACTATGGAGACAACCATCACCTTCTGACCAGAGACATATCACCTGAGAACAACGGTAGCTTTATAACTAAGCGTTACTCGTGTTGTTTCTAATTGTTTTCGCTCTTCAGTTGTGACTTTTCTAGGGTATCTAAAAGATAGTAATGCTACGGCACATTCTGTTGATACTAGCGTTAGTTAGGCAGTGAGACTTAAAAGAATCAAAAATGACATTGAATGTCCTATTTACATGTTAGAAAGTACTAGAATAATTACTATCAGTCTATAGAAAGAACTCGTGGGAACGCTGTTTAGAAAATGATCAAGTGGTTATCAACTCTGGTTTTCCCACAGTAAATTGTAGGAAATAATAGAAATTGAGATTGATTATTCAGATATTTAATATACAGTGCACAATATTTTCTCTGGAAACACAATACTTTTCTTGCTGTTTGTTGCACTTTATTAAGTAACAGTTATTTAGCTATATATTTATAGAAAACAACGACACAAAAAAAGGAAAAAAAAAAGAAAGTAGGAATAAATAATATGGTAGGACTCGAACCCGACACCTTCGACTCGACGCGACTACACCTAACCACTACACCACAGAGGCTGATTATGAAATTTTCGGGAAAAGTGTTTCATTTTATTCCTTTTCTATGAAACTTCAGCCGGCAAGATGATCGCCAGCCGCATTAACCGAGCTATTAACAGTGAAAAACAATGTAAACGCATATTCCATGGCAATGAATGAATGAAAGAACATAATTATGCTTTTCAAAACGCCGATACACGTCCTGGTCTGCAAAGTAGGACACAAAACATATGTTTTGTTATCTCGATTTCCGCTGTTATTTTGAAGCGAATGGTCAAAATCACATCCATTTTCGGCTCATACAGTTTCTTAAGAATAGCATTGCATGACATTTTCTCACTTTCACATCACCTTCTAGCAAGCTGGAATTTGTATATCCCCCGTGTTGCGGAGTCGAAGAGCAAATGCTCATCTTCTCGTCAGGTTTAACACCTGGACGAGTCAAAGGCTCTTGAATTGAAATCCACTCCCCAAGTTAACCATCGTACTCATCTGAAAGACTCCTGCGTGTCTTAAAATTTGGTAAGACCTCTAACCGTGCTGTAGAACTGAGCAGCGAACGATGCACTTCTTCCCCGTGTTTTTATTTGAGTTGTTCGTGGCGCAATGCACTCTGGTTAAATGCAATGCATTGTGGTAAAAAGTTTGGTTAAATGCAATGTATTGTGGTAAAAAGTGATGAATTCGAGAATTCGTCGCCCCTTTATATATTTCCTTTAAATCCTGATTATGTTGCTGCTCGCTCCCTTCGGTCGCCCCGCAGCAATAAGTTGGCGACCAAAATTTACGATCTGGCGACCAAAATTTTTCCGTTAGTTGACAGCTGGCTCCCAAACAAAAAGTTAATTTCGAGCCCTGCAGGGGTGAAACTTTAATTCCCACAAATTCTTCACGGGGTAGACCCATATTCTTAAGGGGAAAGACCCATATTTTATAGAAGTCTTTAGGCATTAATGTACTTTCATTAAATTTTGTCTACAAAGGTAAGAAGAAAGGTAAGTCCTCAACCAGGGATACGGATATTAAAATGCAATAGCCCAATAACTACTACTAGTACTACAAATAAAAGGAACCAATGGGCATTCATAACAAATAATTCCAGCACACTCTCTGTCAACCTTTCGTTTGTCCATCACTGAAGAGCATTCAAAGAATAATTTTAAAATGCCAGAAGCTGGCAAGGTAACAAAATACAACTTAAAACAATTTCTTCGCCGAAGTGAGCCTGACATGTAGTTCTTACAAGTCCCGAAATGAGACTTGTACAGGAAATCTGTCAGCTTTGCTAAGTCTACTCTAGCCTTGGGCTGCGAACGCCTGCCACAAAGGGCCCTTAACACTAACATGTATCAACAGATCAAGAGAACTCAGTCCTAGACTTGATCGATCGGTGTGTCTGAGCGATATCTTAATTCAAATTAAAGCACACATCAGACCAGCTTGAGAACACTTTTGAGGTTACTTCTGGTCGATCTTACTTTTTTTCTGCTAACTTAACTATAAGTGAGGCACGGTACGATGGAATTTCCAAAGAACCTCTTCAAAACACTGCAGTTTAGACGGTCTTTCATATCAGACAAAACAATATGGCGTCGCGCGCACACACCAGAGAATACCATTTCTGCCTTGAATTAGCCTTGAAGACCGACATTTGGAGATCTTGTTAGTTCAACGATACACAAACAACATCACTTACGAATTCTAGACAATAAAGACTAGAAAAATTACCTGGAGTGAAGGAGCAGCGTCCAAATTCAGACCAATACAAACCACACCCCGCTTTTCCCAATTGCCAGGGCGTGCAATAGAATGCTTTGGACAGGATACGTCATGTATGCTTTCACAAAGAGTCACATAAAAAGCGACGAAACTTCTAGACAAAATAAAGATCAGAAAGGCGGGAGCTAACAAAGGATATCTGGGGTATAGTCTCATGCTATTTGTGCTATATAGTGGAAGTAACCAGAGAATCAATACTCTAAAAGGTCCAACCATGTTAGCCTGCGTAGAAAGCGAAAGGGGTAGGGGATAGGGAGGAAGGGAAAAAGGGGAGGGGGATTGGGGAGAGTCGAATGACGGGGCGCGATCCATTCAACCAAAATTCCAACCGGTCCGACCGGGAAAAGAGGACCACCTCAAAAGGTGGACCCGTGTTTTCGAAACTTTTCCATTGAGTTTTGGACCGAAATTTCCGGAAAGTTTGGTTGAATGGATCGCGCCCACGGTGTCCAACAAGAAAGCTCTTGTGAAAGGTTTGAACCCAGGAGTCATTTTGATCGTCCGGGTGAACGTAGTCCTGAATAGGACTGTTGTTG